TTTTCAGCCATTAATAAAAGATGTTCTTCTCATCAAAATCCCTATAGTCTCTTAAGATCGTTTGAGAGATTGTCATCTGACTTTTCGAAGAAAATCAGGATTTTTGCCAGACGTCTATAGATTTGTTACACTTACCATGTGGCACTAAAATTTTAATTTCTATTCATATTTTATATATAAATTTATATATAAAATTTATAATATATTTTTTGAAAATTTTTTTTGATTTTAAATCAATATTTTCAAATAAATTTATTAATTAAGCATTAATAAAACTTTAATATTTTATTAATTAGATTATAAAAAATATATATAAAATCAATCCAATTACTTTTGTCCCACACTGTATATATTTTATATTTTAATATTAATTTTTCCAAGCTTTATTGAAAATTTAAATTAGTTTTGCAAAATAATTATCAAAATTTAAAACATTTGATTTTTGATTTTTTGTTTGATTATATATAAAATTTAATTATTATTATTTTTTTAAAATAACAAATTTTTATAATAAAAGAAATTTAATTTAAATTTAATAAAGATTTTACCAATCAATATTGATTTTATGAAATTTAAAAAAATAATAATTAGTTTTAATTTTTTTTATATCTTATATTAAGCTTTGTTTAAATAATAATAAACATATATCATAGTTACTATATATAATATATCAAAAAAATAATTATATTTGAGCAATAAGATGTTTTTAAATTAAAATTACAAAAAAGTAAAATTTATAAAAATTTTTTATTTTAAATTAAATGGTTTAAAAAAACCAATGATAGGATTTTTTTTTTTTAAAAAATAGACTTATTTTATTTTATTTTTTTTAATTAAAAATTCTATCCAATCACCCATCAACACATCATAGCACGAGGTTTTTAATTAAGTTTCCTCTTCCACCTGCTTTCATTTCTTCACCCGATCTAGAATGTATAATCTCGCACAACGCGCGAATGCGTTGTTCGCTTTCTCGACGACCGTGATATTTGGCCTCCTTGGGGCCATAGCATTTATCACACTTTTCTTATCTTCTTCACCTACAGCCAAGATCGATGTCAAGGATTTGCAGGTCTTGATATATGACTATGCTCATACCCAAAGTGAATTTGCGTTCGTAGACCTCAAAATAGATGCCGGTTAGTTCACACAATAATTTCACCTTCTTCTGGTTATTGGAAGACCTGAAAAGTTTTTGGATCAAATTTTAATGAATCATTCTTATTTTGTTGGTTAAGATTTGACCTCGTTATTTAATTGGAATACGAAACAGCTATTCGTCGCAGTTGTGGCGGAGTACGAGACGAAGACACACGTGCGTAAAACTGATTGAAGCTCTAATATATAGATTTATTCTGATCGATTAAATGGATATACATCGTAATATGTCATTATAATTAGAATTCCAACCAAGTGGTTCTATGGGATACGATTATTCAATCAAAAGAAGATGCCCACATTAAAGAAGAAGAGTTGCATAATGAATATAATTTTGTGGATATAACGAGCAGTTTTGAGTGAGTCCATTATTTTTATTATTTTGTGCTCGCCGAATTTAATATGATTATAATGAATTAATTTGAATTCGATTTTACGCTAAAAAGTCGGGTGAACGCGAATTATTCTATATACTGGGATATAATGCCGTTCGTTGGGGTTTTGATAAGTGGAAACTCTGGAACTCTGAATATCAAACAATTTCCGGCGCCAATGAATGGTTAAAGAGAGCGGCATCGGCATGGGTGGTTCCTATAAATGTGAATGTACTCTGATGCGAATTTTGAAATGGCTTTACTGAAATATATGAACGATATAACATTATCATGTAAAATATTGGTTTGGTGTGACCTCTGTAATCTTCACCACCCTTCTATACATATATTATTTCGGGTTATCGTGCACACGAAACCGTAATCGATTAGATGATAAACGGTGATTCTTAGTAATTGGCTAATAACATCATACCATACGTTGCATCACCATTTGAGATCCTACAATCATTTATGTACCATATGTACGTACATCTTCATGCACAATAATCAATCACCTTTTTTGTGCACGGCGAACTTTGCGGAATTCACAAAATTTCCTAATTCATACTAATATATAATTGGCTGAACCGTGAACCATTATGTATAACAATGACACCTAATTGACTTCACACACATATATATACATATATCATCGACTTGTCCCTCTGACTCTTCAATCATTTTCTACGCTTAATTTGTTTTTTCTTTTAAAAAAAAAAAAAAAAAAAAAATTTCCAAATTACAATGGACCAGAATACAACCATTGACGTGTCATCGACGGTTCTTCATCCAACTCCTCTCCTTCCATTTATGTCGGACAAACACCTTTCCCTGTTGGCCCCCGTAATTGTTTACTGGTTATATTCCGGGATGTATCATCTAATTTCGGTATATAAAGTTCCTTTATTTGATAAATACCGGATTCAAAATTCGAAAGAGACAGAAACGATGAACAAGGTTTCTTTGGGTGAAGTAATTAAGGCCGTATTGGTACAACAGTTTATACAAACTTTACTAGGCTTGACAGTTGCATACTTGGAGGGAGAAGACATTCTACCTGATGACGCAGTTGAAATGTTTCACATCGGTCAAACATTAAAGTTTTGTGCCACCAAAATTTACTTATGGCAAACAATCGAACCATATCATGATGTTATGGTCGAAGCCACATATTGGTACATCATGCCCATTTTGAAATTTGCATTAGCGATGTAAGTTGTTAATTACAAAAGGACTCTTCACACTTCACACTTTACAAATTCACACCGATTATGATATTAATATTTTAGGTTTTTCTTGGATACGTGGCAATACTTTGTACACCGACTGTTTCATATGAACAAGTTTCTTTATCGCCACGTCCATTCACGACATCACCGATTGTACGCACCTTATGCTTTTGGCGCGCTCTACAATCACCCATTCGAAGGATTTCTATTTGACTCTCTTGGTTCCGTCATAGCCACCGAACTTTCGGGATTGACAACAAGAAGCACATTGGTATTTTTCACATTTGCAACTATCAAAACTGGTGACTACAGATTTTTCAATTTTTTGGTCTACGCGTAAAAGAATGAATTCTGGGATAACCTTTTTTTCACTTTGACACATTTCAGTTGATGATCATTGCGGTTACGACCTGCCATTCAATCCCCTCCAGAGAATGTTTAGAAACAATAGTGCCTAGTAAGAAATTTGTTTCGTTTTACGTCCTCCTCCTCGTTTGACACGTTGCTAATTGATCTTTGATAAATGTCAACTTGAAAGTCATGCTATCCACCATCAGACCTATGGAATGAAAAAGAATTTTTCGGCACCATTTTTCACCATGTGGGATCGTATTCTCGGAACTTACATGTCCGCCCCTCCAAAATCGAGTGAAATTGTCAAAGATCGCACCACGACCATCAACAGTCTATCGCTAAAGGCCGACTCGAACAGCGATTACGATTCTAAGGCGGAAACCGTTAATTCGGAAATTTCAACGACGGGAAGATACAATCTGAGATCAAGAAAGAACATCACTTGATTTTGGTCCACAAAAAGAAAAAACAAAAACTTCAATTTTTCATAGTTGAATATTTATTTGTCTAATGTACTTGTAATTGTAAACAGTAAAAAAAAATTTTTTTAATGTCATGTCACATCGGTATCTTTGAACTTCATTTGTACCAGGTATTGCAAAATATCTTTGTTATCTATGACCAATTATGACCAATTATGGTCTATGAATTTCCAAAAAAAAAAAGTTTTTTTTTCTTCCCGATTTGGAATGCATCATCCATGCAAATTTGGATCTGCATTGTTTGATCATCTTTCGTTGTCACGTGGATCAAGGTTAATCTGATTTAGCAGATTTAGCATACGTAATTTATCTGGTAACGGATTCGTCAGCAAGATAAATTTGATTTACCAGTTCGAAAAAAAACGCACCACGCATTCGTTCGATTTCACGCACCCCTTACCACAAAAGAATATCCTGTAGATATGGCTGGTCCTGAAGAATGGCTAGCTACGATAAGAACATGTCAGTATTTACATGAAAATGACATGAAAAAACTTTGCGAAATGGTATGCCCAAATCCCTTGATCCCGCGTTAGATTCTGCCAAACACAAAGTAAAACTTTCGCATCACCAAAAACAGGTCAAAGAGTTACTGTTGGAGGAGTCAAATATACAGCCTGTGCACGCACCCGTTACCGTCTGCGGCGACATTCACGGGCAATTTTATGATCTATTAGAACTGTTTCGTGTCGGTGGTGAGATCCCTGATACTCATTACATATTCATGGTAAATCTTCTTCTCTTGTTCGGAGCCATTCATTTTTTAATAGTGACGTTCATTCATTTTATTTGAAATATGTATGACTGTATGATAATAATATATTATTAATCTCGCAAAGGGTGACTTTGTAGATAGAGGTTATTACAGTTTAGAAACATTCACTCTATTGATGGTTTTGAAAGCAAGGTTAACAACCTCTCTTTAAATAATAATACATTCAAGTTATCCCGAATGTATCTTCTTTTTGCCCATTAAATCTTCCTTCTTTGTCCTCAGATATCCTGACAAGATTACTCTTCTGAGAGGAAATCATGAGAGCAGACAGATCACACAAGTTTATGGATTCTATGGTAAAATCAATGATATTCTCTGGGGGATGTCGATATTTCGAGGAATGTTGTTCACACTCTAATTATCGTGATCAGATGAATGTCAAACAAAGTACGGAAACCCAAATGTCTGGAAGTATTGCTGTCAAGTGTTCGACTACCTAACTTTAGCTGCTGTAAGATCTTCTCTCATTATATACGTATATATATATAGATAGATATATAAATTTCAATTTATATTATTGGAAAACGTTGTAATCTTAATGTGTTGTTGTGTCCCTCCACCTAGATCGTTGATGGTCGTATTCTGTGTGTTCACGGCGGGTTGTCACCCGACGTTAGAACATTGGACCAAATAAGGACGATACCAAGGGCTCAGGAGATTCCACATGAGGGTGCCTTTTGCGGTAAGTCCATCCTCCTGCAACAACGGATTTTACTTGACCCTGCGCGATTGTAATCAACATGCACTTTTGAATAGATCTGATGTGGTCCGATCCGGAAGACATTGAAACGTGGGCTGTTAGTCCACGGGGAGCCGGTTGGCTATTTGGCGCAAAAGTGACGAACGAGGTATTCGAGACTTATTCTGATTGTTCTTTTTTTTTTTTGTTCTCACGGTATGATGACCCTAATTAACGTGCCTTCGATCGTTTAAAATGTGCAACTAGTTCAACCAGGTTAATGATCTGATTCTGATAGCTCGCGCTCATCAGTTAGTACAGGAAGGTTACAAATACATGTTTCCAGATGACAATTTAGTCACCGTATGGTCGGCGCCAAATTATTGTTACCGTTGTGGTAACGTGGCGTCTATCATGGCGATTGACGAGAAGTTGCAAATTGATGAAAACAGTTTTAAAATTTTCAACGCTGTCCCGGATCAAGAACGTTCTATTCCACAAAGGGCTGGTGTCGGTCAATATTTTATTTGATGAAAATAAAAAAAGGGGTGTCATAATTGTTTTTTTTTTTTTGTATTAGTAGAACAAAAAAAGGATCATCATCTGTGAATAATAGAGCTTTTACGCTTTTTTTTTTTTTTTTTTTTTTTTTTTTTTTTTGGAGCGTCTAATTAACTTAAACTTGAATTCCTATGTTTCATTTTATAATATATATTTAATTGTTTTATAATCATATAATTCTCTAACACATAATTCATGGGAATCCTCATTTGCAATAAATTTTTCAATAAAATCATCTTGTCAAATGACCACTACTAATTCGCGAGACGATTTTCGTACTGGCCAATCAAATTACGAATGACAATATGGGTTGACAATTATATTTATTTACCTTTTAATTAACTATCAATAAACAAAACAATTAATGAATTTTGATATTATTAATTAATGACAGCACGCGAAAATTGTTTTTTTTTCTGGTTCATACCTACCTATCGAAAAAGAGATGATAAACAAAAATAAAATACAAACAATTGATGTGCTATATAAATAGAACAAAAGAATGTGATTTGGGGATGTCATGTTTTACAATGTGGAAGATATTATTTATTCAAAAAAAACTCGAGTTAATTTTCATGATTGTTTTGATATTATTGAATAAATAATAACATTTCTTGTAAGTTGCTGAGATCATACCTTTAAAATTGTGAATGCACAGATCACTCTTTTTTTTTAACTAATCAACCTATTGCTTCACTGAGAGGAAAGTTTTTTTTAGAACATTGTGCCCTGTAAAAAAATGAATCTGCTTTTTCCAAAAGAAATTGATTTTGTTAATGAAAAATCCATGTGGGAATAAATATACTATGCTTATTTTCTCATTCAAGCTTTATTACCTAATTTGTACTCCAAGAGCAATTGCCTCGTGTTGTATAATAACGATTTTTTGGTATTCGAAAAAAAAAATTCTTTAATTATTCCCATATATACCTGATAAAATTAAAATTGCTATATGGTATATTAATTCTTTACATTTTAATACAATTTTGAAACCGGTTCATGTATGTGAGTGTAATTCGGCAATTATTGGTCGACGGTTTGTTATAGTGTCATTTTATTATCGTGTCACAACATCAACCAATCTGTTCTCGGCAACGTATATTTCGTGAAATTGAACACAGACATATAGAGTTGAAATTGCCCAATAAATAATTCATTTTAGATTATTCAACGACAAAGAATCAACCACGCTCGCTGGCGAGACGACCTCTACGTCGACACCAGTCTATAAATCAAAAAAACATCACCGACTTAGCTTACTTCCTGGAGGACAGCAACAAATCTAGTTGATTGTCTATATAAATTTAAAATAAACCCTAGTATAATTTTGACTTAATCAAGAAATATAATACGATACTCTTTGCTGGATAAAAAAAAAAAAAAAACGACGATTCGTCTGTACATTAAAATTGGAAATTTTGCACCACAATGAGTAAACTGAAGCGTACGCCAAGTTTAGGAACGATGCCTAGTCCCGGCCTTCATAATAGTATTTCGACAATAGAGTCGCCTAGTCCAACAGGTGTTAGCACTCTGAATCGACCTGCGCAGGCGTCACAATCGCTATTTCCCATGTGCTTAAATCTTTTAGAACGTCTCTATTGTGTGAAAGAGTTTGAACAATATTTGATTCAGGGACAGAATGCCATGCAGAATGGTTCGATAGTGGGCACTCCAACTTCGGAAAATGGACCAAGCAATAATATTATTCATAAAGATCCTGTTACGCTTTTGTGGCAGACTTTTCGTTTGGGTTATCCCTTGTGTGCACTCTTCAATGCCTTGCAGCCACAAAAACCGTTGAAGGTCGCATTCGAGGAAGATAAACCAGGCGCCGTCAAATCCAAAGCCAACGCCAATAAAGCTAGTGTGTACCATTTTCTTGTGGCTTGCAAGGAAGAGTTGAACTTGCATCCAGATCAAGCCTTTTCAATCTCACAGTTGTATCAGGATGACACCAATGGATTTGTGAAGGTATAGTCAAGTTACCTGTAATGTTGGATTCGAGATAGATGTTTGCCTAGCGAGTTTTGTTGAAAGGTTTGTTGATTCTTTGTTTGATACTTTAGGTTATCAACACAGTGAAACTGGTCACGGATAAAATTGAGGAAAAGGGTCTCCTCGATTTATCTAAAAAACAACTTTCACGGAATTCCGATCCCGAGAAACCTACAGATAACAGGGCAAAAGTTGTACGAGAATTACTAGAGACAGAACGAAAATATGTGCAAGATATGGAAGCTTTACAGGTATTCCGAAGCATCTCTTCTTTCTGTGGATTTACCAACAAATTAACGCTTGCTATTTTCGATTTCTCTAGAATTATGCACGAGAACTCAAGAATCAAGACGTTGTCAGTGCAGACACGATCCATTTGCTATTTGCCAACCTCAATAATCTTGTCGATTTTCAACGTCGTTTCCTTATTGGCGTGGAATCCATGTCCAGCGAACCGCCCGCAGAACAACGGTTTGGACATCTCTTTATACAAATGGTACGGATTTTTTGTTGAATGAATTGTTCGGTAGATTTCATTTTATTAAATTAAATCAATCTATCTATGATTTAATTATAGGAGGAAAACTTTGCAGTTTATGAACCATTTTGTGCTAATTATCAGTCTGCATCCGAATTAGTTATTCAAGAAACTCCCAACTTACAGGTATTAACCACGCAAATGAATGTATTTTTAATGTTGTAGCCTCATGACGATCTAATGGACATTCTTTAAATCAGAAATTGGCTCACCTTGTTGAACCCACTTATGAATTACCATCATTGTTAATTAAGCCGATCCAGCGCATTTGTAAATACCCATTATTGCTTCAGGTATTCGTGTGATTTAATAATTTGCATGAAATTCATATTAAGATTTACAGTATACTAATCATTAGTTAAAATGTTGATCGATAATTAATTTGCAGGAATTATTAAAATTTTCAAATAAGGAAGAAACCCCTTATTACGAAGAAATCGAACAAGGTCTTCATGCCATTAAACGCGTGACTGATCGTGTAAATGAAACAAGGCGTAAACAAGAAAATGAGGCTGTTGTTAGAGATTTGGAGCGTCGAGTAGAAGATTGGAAAGGTCATCGAATCTCGCAATTCGGTGAGCTCTTGCTCGAAGACATATTCACAATGTCCAAAGATGATTCTGAGCGTGAATATCATGTGTATTTGTTTGAGAAGATCTTGCTTTGTTGTAAAGAGACCAACCCCAAAAAATCCCAGGGGAAACAACAAAAAAATAATGGGCGTAAGCAAAAACGAGCTAGTTTACAGCTCAAAGGAAGAATTTTTATACGTAATATTACAGCTGTGATGAATAATGACCAAGAGAAGCAACTTCCAAATCCCAACTCAAGTCGGCACGGATGTAGGTCACATCTGATTTTATGTTTGCATGTTTGTTAAGGTTGATGCTTAAACTTATTTAATCAATCAATGTTTCATGAATAGCGTTGTCTTTAAAGGTCTACTGGAAAGGAGATACAGAGTTGGAATCTTTCTTGCTCAAATGTCGAACCGAAGAACAGCTCAAGCAGTGGCAAACAACCTTGGATAAATTATTGAGCGACTTCAATAGTGGTCGTCAAATGACTTCGAAAGGCACAGAGCCTTTCACTCCTGTCATTAAACGACCTGCAGTATCGAACACGCAGTTGGCATCATTACAAAATCTTGATCTCCCCCCGTATCCACGTCGGGATGATGACGCCGCATCATTCATTGACGATGAAGAGGACGAAGATGATGAAGATGAGATAGACGATTGGAATCAAAGTGCAAAATTCAAAAGTCAATCTTTGCCTTATGGTCAATACCCATCGCCTTATGGAAAGAATCGACAAGATGGCACGACACCACCATATTTATGGAACTCCGGTTCCCCACCAAGCGTGCCCAGCGTTCCCCCGCAACATCGAAGTCATGCGAACATGTCGATGCCACCCATTCCTCGCAATGGGTCAGTCAGCGTTCCACCAACTATGACTACATTCCCATCTAATGTCGTTGGAGAAAATTCTTACCTCAGTCCCTCACCCCAATCCTATCCAGATCACCCCTCGCAACGACAAAATGTAGAACATCCATCACCTCTGGCGGACACTATTGCGAAATTTATGATGGCGGAGGAAGATGAATACGTAGTTCCATCACAACGTGCCAATTCTTATAGCGAAGGTTCCGGTCAGCCTCCTCAGAGAGGAAACGGACCTTTACCATCAACACCACAATATAGCCCTGCGCATCCTATGAATCGGTTACGATCTCAAAGTAACCCACCTATTCAAGCCATTCAGGAATCACAGTGGGAGGAATCCGAACCCGTACCAGATCTTCCAACTCCCGTAACGACAACACGAACGAATGTTAATGTGTTCCAATCTTCGGGTGTCCAACAACGAGATAGTGGATCGAGTACATCTTCGCGAGCATCCGTGCATTCAATACCCAATGCGACGAGTTCCATCAGCAGCGCACCCTCAAATAATGGATTGTCTTCACCTCCCAACGGACATACGAATGGACATCAATATACCAACTACTCTACGATGAAGATTAAAGTCAACTATGCCAAAGAGATCTTTGTGATAGTCGTATCACAAGATATTGAGTATAAAGAATTATGTGACCGTGTGGAACGTAAGATTCGCCTATGTTCTACTCAGCGTGACGAAAGCGTTCCGCTTCGCATCAGATACCAAGATGAGGATGGTGATTATATTACTATTAATTCAGACGAAGACGTTTTGATGGCATTTGAAGGTCGCCTTGCGGCAGGAGGAAATTTTGTTAATCTGTACGTCAGTTGAGAATAACCAGGAACCTCAAGATGGCATCGATTATCGAATCAGTTTGAAAAGAGGCGAATGATTTTCCTTAGAATCCGGATTGCATCTGATAGAGATTACGTAAAAAGTTCGACGCTTGAATGATACTATATTAAGTTATCGCCCATCTCACCGATACACAGATAACGAAGAAACTCCTGCACTATTATTATATTCACTAATTTAACCTCCCTTACATTTTTGTCTTTTTATTATTTTAATTTTTCTTTTGAAAAAAGATATATGACGCGTTAACGAATATAAAGACGGAAAGTTATTACGCGTGCATATTGGAACTATGATATATAGTATCTTTAAAAAAAATTATCCTTAAAACTCCTCTTTTCTACATACATAATACTTATCGCTTATTAAAAAACAAAACCTAAAATCAAAAATTATTTTTCCTTTGAGATGAAACTTTCATCAAAGCTGCGCATTTTATCATTTTTTTGTAAACCTTCATAAAACTCTTCACATAAATCCCCACCCTTTTATTTTGGTAAATATTAAATTTTATTGTATTTAAAATTTCTGTAAAAATTTTAACCACACACGGTTCATCATCTTGAATCTAGGTAACTTCACTTTACATAAATAACGCATTACGATTATCATTTTTTTTTTTTTTTCCGATGTTAACTGGTTTTCAGTGGCATAAATTGCCGAGAGCCTCATACCATCTGTACGTCTATTTTTGATATTCCGTATTGTAAACTACATTTCTAGAACACTCGATTTAGTATATTCTTAGACCATTTTTGATCGTAAACCAATACATACATACATACATATATATATATATATATTAAAGTATAAATCGCTCAATTATTTTTAGCAATTAACTCATTTTTAAAAAAAATGTAAAATACTATTATATATTAAATAAAAAATTATTATTAAAAAAAACAAATGAAAATCATTAATAATAAAATTGATATTAAAGTCTAAATAATTAAATTAACTTACCGTATAACAAAGTAGGTGTATCTCTTTATACTGTATGCAATACAATTTGAAATTAATTTAAAAAAAAAAATTTTTTTTTTTATTGAGAAATGGATTATTTTAAACTCTATGGATTATTTATTTATTTAACCTATAATTACAGTGAGTGTGCTTAGTGCTTAGGCAATTTTTTCGGAATATGCTATTGAAAAATCCGTCGTTACACTCGCCAAGTAATTTAATACGTATAAATAGAATTTATCGGAGTGTTGAATTCCAACTCGGATTACTTCTCTGAACATATAGCGGAAAAATGAAATGTTCAAAGTGTTCACTTGATAAATTGTCTCGGGAGTTTCCTTCGGACATTGTAAGCCAAAAGTGCGGTCATGTCTCAACTTACTGCCTGAAGGTAAGGTTTGACCTGCTGCCAATTCCGGCGTTAACGAAACAATCAACGTTTCTATTCGTTAACTCAATACCTCTTGTATAAGTGTTTGATGAATCACTTTCAAGCTCCTAAAGACACGCGTCAATGTCCTGAATGCCAAGCCGTATTGACGCAAAAAGAAATACGCGATTTAAATAACTCATGGGAAAAAGCACCTTTCAGAATCGACATTGAGAACATTTCTCAAATAAAAAGTTCGAATAGTAAGAATGATAGTGAGCTTAGTGTTAGTGGGAATGCTACGGCTGGAAGTTTTTACGTGGTCTTATTAAACGGTCAAAAGATGAAATTTGAACTTGAAAATCTCAAGACAGTGATCGCTTTAAAGGAGGCATTAAAGGTTCAGACAGGCGTTGAGGTGTCCAAACAAAAGTTGATCCACAAGGGGGTTGAGATGAATGTTAGTGTTCATCTTTTTTACCATTGTTTTATTGATTTAACAGACGAGTGGTGCCACAATCATCATGACTTTTTTTGTTTAGAGTTACAACACAGGGCGGGTTCAAAACAGCCTGGGTGAATATGGCATAGCTTCCGATAGTCATATTCAACTCATAGTTCTTCTTTACTCGATCTCTAAAGAATTGTCGGTCCAAAATTTAACCTTTGATCTTTTCTGGGGATATCCAGTGACTGGATGTGATTATCTTGACGGTACATGTATGCTTTACATGGGAAATACGAATTGGAGAAAATTCGATTATCAGTCCACGGCTTATCCCGACATCCGTGATATGAAACATTCCGGAGACGTGATGGATCATGTGAATCGAAGAGGTGAGCAATCAATCAATCATTCATTCATTCAATTCATTTGCTTTTGGTTGAATTCGGTGGTTCGTAGATCGCATCATGATTCTGAACTTTGATAATCATCAACAAAGGTCATCATCGTATCACCGCAAATTTGGCGAATCTTCCAGAGAATGTTACGAAGCTTTACTTTATTCTTTCCTCGTGGAATTCTCCAAACATTGGACATTTTCCGAATCCAAGTTTTAAAATGTATGACACCATGACACCTCACATAAATTTATGTACCTACACAATCCAATCGGCTGCATCTTCGCAAGCTGTCATAATGTGTTGTGTTGGCAAGAATAGTCTTGATGGCACCTGGGCTGTTTACGAGGTCGGTAAATTGTCAAACGGCAATGCTAAGAATTATGCACCGATCGAGTATACCATCGGAACGCTAGATCCATTTTTCATAAACTGAGCACGCAATATAATAAAATAGTAGATGATGTTGGCGGTTCGTAGGACTACCAGCATCCCGTGTGTAGAATAGGGTACAATTTGTAATAACATCATCATTTATTTATATACATATATACAGTAAATACCATGTATATATAATTTTTGTTTTTTTTTTAATTCAAAATATTTCAATATCGGAAAATCAACGTTTACAAGTGTGTCTGACATTGATTGACCTGATCCTTTCATAATTCCAATAAAGGGTACTACTTTCTCTCTCTCTCTCTCTCTCTCTATTAATATAACAAAGGGAAAGTTAGTGGGTGTGAGGGGGGTTGCATTTGTGCGAGGTTTATTGCACCCATCATCGTGACGGATGGATTGTGATTGTTACGACCATTTTCATATTAAATCACTAATTGCTTTAATCGCATAATTAGTTGGTCTACCAACGTGACCGTCATTTACATAAAGAAAAAAAAAAAGGCATCGTGACTTAAAATATACAGGTGGCTTCAACTCCAAAAAAAAAAAAAAAAAAATTTTTTTAAGTGTATATATATATGCGCATATATATATATATACAATAAAGAAAATCTCAAAGTTATCATCGACATGCAGGACTTAATAATGTATATACAAGGTTTGAAGATGATATGTTGTTATTTGAACTCGTGAATAAGAAAGAATTCTATACAAGTCATGGGTTTAACAATTAAGAAATTTTTTTTTTTTTCCTGGTGTATTTAGTTTTTCAATTCCACTATCCAATCGTTCATTATAAGATTGGTTTTTTCTCTTGTCAACTCCCAACCCTTTTCTCTCAATATTTCTGTCCCTCCACCCGCATTGCGCCTTTGACGAAACCGATCGGACGTCCATTTCTTACGTTTGAGATGGACTCGTTATTTTGATCCACCTCTGTGTAGTGCTGTTCGTGTTTAATGATATCCTCTTCTGAAGACATGCCCAGTCTTGGGTCGATCACTTGTGATGAGATGTTATGTTGGGCAATGTTATTATTATGTTCAACCGCAAATGTAATAACATGACCTCCATTGTTTCCGATTCCGATATCGGATTTCACGTTCGCCTGTTCTTCATTGCTGTTACCGTTATTGACAACCGGCGATCCGGTTATTGCACTGTTATCTATATCCGCCTCGGCCAAAGGTGCGTAAACCTCATCGAAGCCAGACAACTCCATCTTCTCTCTCACATTTGAAACCCAGTCTTGATTTTCTGGGTTTTTCAAAAATTCCACCAACTTTGAGAACTCCTCGACGAGGATCCTCTCCAACTTTGCACCACTCAATTCCTTGGTCATTAGCAAAACTCCCTTACCCAATAATTCGCATAGTATGCTAAGTCGCCACGCGCAATTTAAGCGATGCTTTCCAACCTCCCTACCTCCAGTTTGTTCCTTAATGTGCAGTGTGACCGTTGGGTCGATGAACGAAGAATACGTCGGAAAGGTGATCTGTGGAATCTGATCGGATGAGGGTGAAGTATGATTCCGCCTTGTTGGTGAGTTCAGGGGATCGTGCTGTAATACTTCTTCCTTGTAGGAGTTGTATGTGGTAAATAATTTATAGAGTTCCAGATTTGAAAAGACTTTCGAGGAAATACCATCGATTCTAGAAGTCGGTGGTGATTGCAGTAGATGACATAAGAGATTTAAACGGGGTGATGAATTCAAGTTCGTAGATGCAGATGGTCGAATATTCGCGTAACTTTCTTTTATGGCAGAAATCAATATTTTCGATTCCTCAAGCCTCTGAACTAACGTGGTTTTGGAGATTCCGGTGAAGAGACGTTTCACAGCTTCGCAGCCTGCATGAACGAGCGGAAAACAATGAATCTGGTTGGTCGCATTCAATCGTGTGAAGAACATTTTAAAGCAGAAAAAACCACTTACTTAACGGAGGCGCCTTATGCTTGTCCGTGGAACGCCTTTTGGCCGATACGCTTTGTTGAGTTAAATGTTCATCCTCCGAATTTGGACTATCACTGGCACGCTTTCTCTTGTTGACCGTGGAAGGGGTGGATGTACGCCATGATTCATTATCTTGATGATTTTCTTCCACAATCTCATCCTTCTCCAATTCGTCCATCATGTCCTCGTCTTCGTCGTGATTTGCGTCGGAATTTTTAAAGGAGTTCGGTTCTTGTGAACTGTTCGAGTTACTACCGTTCAATTCGACCCTCTGGTGCTCGGGATCGTCGTGACGACGTTGATCGTCGAAGTCTATCAAGTACTCTAGATGATTGAAGTAGAACTTTATCTTATTCTGAAATAGTCGACCTTTCAACCCTACATCATCGAGCACGGCTTTAACGATACACACTAGACTTGCAAGCTTAATGGGTGATTCTTTCGTTTTTTGTTGGAGTAGTTCTATGAGCACGAGAGTTCTGGAGTCGCTAAGGATGTCGGCAATATTAGGTTGCAGAAGTTGAGAGGACGGAGACGAAGACGGAGGCGAAGACGACGAAGAGTTTAAAGCATTATTATTTAGACCATTGTTGCCAAGACGTGAGTCAACGTCCATGGGGGTTGCGTTAATGTCGGTAGGACTTTTGCATGATACGAATTCGACAGTGTAATTCTGTCCTCTAAAGTCAAAATCGACGGTCTTTTTGTTTCCAAACACGGTTTCCGGGAAGTAAGGTTGATTAAGTACGTACTTGACAACACACAAGACACTTGCCAACGAGTACGCAGACGCCGATGTCTTTTCTCTTAAAATTTCGACGGCTTTAAGAAGCTGTGCGTCGCTGACTACGTCGGCTATGGTCGGGCGTAGAATGGTTAAAGGCATATCTTTTTTTTTTTTTTATTTGTATTTAATTTTATATACTTGTTTTATCCAATATCTGTTATTCTCAACAGGTATAAAAAATGATATAGGCTGTACTATTGTTCGTGGTATTCCAGCCCACGTCTATTAATCTATTTTTATAAAAAATTTTTCGTCCTTTTAAACGAAGAAGACCAGAAAAAAGGTGTGAGAACAGAAAGTCTCAACGGGCAGTGCCGTACGGAGACCTAAATACACAGGGCAAAAAAGCCATCCTTGTATGACATGCCTCGGCCCGTTTCTCCGGATTGGACCAGATCGTCGATATCATGTCACCGTTACCTCGGCTCCAAATCGAGCGACGGAACAGCTTGTGAAACGAGGAGATGTTCGGAAGGGAGCATCACTTCCTAAACGAGATCAAGAATGGTCAGATGTGATGGATGGTCATCTGATGATAAAAATCGCGACGGTCGTTGTGATATGTACATGTACATTACGTTTACGTACTACATACATCCTTTTTTTTTTTTTTTTTGGTTGTTTTTTTTTTGAGCATGAATAGAGTTGCGCCTCGCCTGCTTAGTCGACAGGCATTTGTATTAAATCGATGCCTCTGGAAACGTTCCAATCCTTCACCAGGTTCAACACGTTTCACATCTGTTCCCTTTGACCACCACCTATCTGCATGCACAACACCAATTAACACAATTAATGCAGGCTTTCGACCACTTATCAAACAACTTGCGACCAAGAACTCTGGGATAACACAAAAACCTAGGGATCATGAAGAGCGCGAGATGCTGAAGGAGAAAGTCCGAAATTTGCTCAAGAACAAAGAATTTGAGATGTATAAAGCACCGGAAATCTACGGGAGAGCCAGTTGGCTTTTTCATTTCACGGCACTCGCGCAATTCATATTTTGGTGAGCGGGATACATCTCATTGTGATAACAGTTGTCACCGGTGCGTTAGGATATGTCTAAATCCGAGACTTACCAAATTTACCAGGGGTTTTGCTTTGGACACGATCTCACGTATATACGCCGATAAAGGGTGAGAGACGGTAAATTAAAATTTAAAGATCATCAATTGGATACTGACCACGGTTACACTGGGACAAAATGTACAGGAAAAAACCTGATACCGCTGTTAAAATCAGGTACATAACATTCGTAGTCTCACTCAGCATCGGATTTGTCTTCATGATATTATTCTTTCCATATAAGTAAGTTGATTCGAGTAACCAACGCTAGAAAATTTGTGAAGTACACATAATGGACAATCCTTTTAGGCTAACCTGTGTCGCTTCGACATGATCAGGATGGTCTCCAAGCTTACCATCATTCAAAAAAACAAAGATATCATGGCCAAAATCGAAAATGACATGAAACTCCCTTTCTTACGCACAAAAACAATCCCCATCAAAGACTTGCACTGCAATACGAAGTTATTTAGCGGAATAGGTGATCACGCACACTCAGATGTGTTGGAATTCTCTTTTCTTTTTTTTTTTTTTCATTCACGTCGTCACTAAAATACGATTCAATGGTGAACAGGGGAATCTGGTTACGAAGCTCCCAAGGGAAAAAGATTTCCTGCTATACTGTTGAAAAGGAATGACCAATTTATGGGCTATATTTTTGACAGGGGTGGGAGCTTTCAAGATCCCATATTATTTGACCTGATGTTTTACAAACCTGGAAAAAAGTAGGCGGATCCTTATTACTGAAGCGCTCTAGTGCGTGGACAATTATACTTGCTATCGAGACACATAGATGCAGACGCAGATGTAGATCTGTTGCAAACATATTAAAAACTATACGACTATTGTATTGAATTATCTTTTTTGCCACTGCCGCCAACGTTATTGCCAACGGACAAACCAGCATTAGCCTCAGTACACTCGTACAACGCCTTTAGTTTATCTCTGCAAACTTCGGGATCCGATTCATTTCTTGCTAGACACTCGTCAAATGCGATTATGGCATTATTACATCTTTCTTTGACCATCTTTATTTCCGGAACGCTGTATTAAGATGGACATGCATAAACAAATGATGGTGTGGCGTTAGGAGAAGAGACGTCGTTCTCTAGTCTAATAAAATTTTGTTGCAAACCAATAACCTAAGGCCTCTTAATGACACACACATCATAATTAACTTTTACTCACTTCTCTTCTGAACATTTGGTGAGTTCACGTTTTTGTTCGAGACATGCGGATTGCCAATAGCTCGGATGGTTTTCCACACAACGTTGATATGCCTCCAGTTTTTCACCACAATATTTTATTACTTGAAGAAGTGTCGCGTTCATTGTGAACGGCAATTCTCCGATTTTTTTGGAGGGGATGAAAGCTGCTGCGTGAATCTGGTTGTATGATAACGATTATCAATGGTTATGATGACGTCACAAATCATTTGTTTGTGGCTGAGGTGGGTTGAAACACCCGACGGCCCGCCGAAGTTGAAATAGTCGCAGTGCCCACCGACATAAGCATAAACAATACTTGATTTTGGCGGAGATAACTTCCGAATCCCATTAGATTTTTTGATTTGGTGTTCTGATTGAATCGGACCAACACTTATCTATGAGTGTTTAATTAATCTAAATGAGATTTCAATTTAAAAAGAAAAAGAAATCATTAATTCGTTAATTAGCACCTATGTTCATCATAAATCATCGCAAAACTATGTGACGTTTTGAAGAATACAAAGAAGCATGATTTGCTTACAGGAGAACAAGGCTTTAGCAATTCCGAATGTGACACGACAATTAACAGATCCATCTTCACAAATATGTGCGCATGTGATGCATGTGATGCAAGAACAACATCAAATTCATCGGGCCTCGATTTTGATAAATAAAATTGATGAATGAGTAAAATAGACTTATTCGAATCCGCAAGCGAGAAGCAAGGATTAAAGTTCTATCACGAGTCTTTTATCAATGCACTTTTCTCGGGAATTCATCTTCCGGGCTTAGCCTTTGTTGTCTAAGGTGTTGATGTACCGGTTATGATTGCTACGCCAATTGGTTGACCATAGTTAACTATTTTTGGTTAGTCACCCTCACCAAGATTAGAACTTACATGTCCTCCGGTTCCGTCACGGAGAAGCTACACAGTATAGAAAGTGGTGGACGAATGACGTGATTGTTTCCGTCGGACCTTTGCTTTTATGTGGTCAGATATCATGGAAGGGGATCCAAAAAAGGTACATTCGACGCGCGTGATCAATTCACATCTTCAGAACAGCAACGCGCGTGCATTTAATATCAAGCATGTAATAATATTCCATGATAATATTATAATCGTCATTTTCTTATTAAGCATTATTCATAACCTAATCAAGTAGACTACACAGTGGATGATAACGTAAGTTTAAAATTGATCGCGTTACTTTATTTTCATTTATTTATTTATTTACTCATCCATTTATTCTTCCCTAGATCAGGTAGCGTATTCACCTTTCACCATTCATTTAACGAATTAAACCTTTTACAAATGAAACTAAAACACTGTTGAAAAAAAATCGATTGAACAATTGTGACCCGATGAAATGCTGATGGTGATAACAACGAAATTCATCGATCATGATAACGATGGTGATATAAAAACATTTTAATAATAATACTGTATATTTGAAACATCTTAGCTCAATATTGAAGGCACTGTAAATACTGTATACTTGTATTATTTGAAATCTTAAAAGAATTCTGCGTAAAAAAGATTTCAGAAGCGATCTTATCTAGAATACCAAAATAAATTATTATAGTAAATATTTTAATAAAATTCAAGGATTTTCTTTTTTGATAAATATACAATATAATGATTCTCTTTAATAACTAATAAAAAATTTCTTTCATTTATTTTAAATTCATTTTAAACCAATTCATTTTTTATTTCTCGAATTTTTCATTTCATATGTCAATTCTCATTTAACTGAAATATAACCTGTTAATTTTACTTTAATAATAATAATAATAATAATAATTAAAAGTCAAAATCACATGTATATTATTTTAAAATATTTATAACTAATTTTTACGAAACTTGTTTTTAAAATAATGCTTATAACTATTATTTTATAATATAATTTAAAAAAATTTTGGTTAATGTTTTTTTTTATAAAATTTTAATTCATTGTATATAAATTATATTTATATAATTTATTAATACAATTATTTGTTTGTTACCTTATTTAATATAAATTATTGATTTAAAGATTTTATTATTATTATTATTATTTAATAAAAACTTAAATATATTATATATAATATATTCAAAAAAAATTTTTTTAATAAAATTTATTAAAAATTTAATAAAAAGAACTTTTTAAAAAATATAATATAATATATATATAATTTTTATTAAAATATAAAATTATAAATATTTCTATTATATTAATAATTTATTCAAGTTAATTAATATTACTTGTTATTTAATATACTGTATATATTTTTAAAAAAAGCAATATATAAAAAAAAAATAAGAGTTATTACTAGTTTAAATTATCCTAATTTAATAATTTGATGTTTATTATTTGTAATTATCTCTTAAAAATAATATAGAACAATTGAATATTTTAATATTTTTTATTTAAAATCTCAAAAAAAAATATTTTTTTTTTTATATTATTTGAAGCTTCAAATAATTTTTTTAAAATAAATATTAAATTAAAATAATTTCAAATTTTTTAAAAAAAATTTTTTTAACATATCAAAATTTTAAAAAATTTTTTTAAAAAAAAATTCAAAACAAAACAAAACAAAACAAAACAAAATACATATTTAACTTTTAGAAAGTTAAAGAATATCTAAAGAAATAACTAATTTATATTTATTTATAATAAAATAATTAACTTTTATTTTAAAAAACCAATTATTTTTTTTTATTTGTTTAATTTTTTAAAAAAAACAAGCAAAAATTTATAAAAAAAAAAATAAATGATAAAAAAAATAATTTATAATATAATTAAAAAAAAGAAGATTAATATCAAATTTTATAAAGCTGTTAATTAATTGTGTATTAAATTAAGCATACCTTTAGATACTAATAAAATTTTATATTAATTAAATCATATTTAGTGAATTAGATAATCTTAAACATCAATACAAGATTAAAAAAATATCAAAATTTTATTTTTAAATTTTATATATTGTAAATAAATTTTATTTGTTTTTTTAAAAGATTAACAATACATAAATATAAATATATTTTAATATTAAACAATTATATTTTAAAATAAGCAAAACATATTCAAATTATAAAAATTAAATATGTATTAAGTAAATGTTTTTTTTTGAATTAAAAATATAGACTATAAAACAAGTATATAAAAAATATAATATATACAGTGTGTAATAAAACTTTTTGGAATTTTTTATTTATTCATTACTCAAAAACTACTGCATAGAAATTAATAAAAAATATATCAAAATA